GAGAGAGAGAGAGAGAGAGAGAGAGAGAGAGAGAGAGAGAGAGAAGGAATGCAGGACAGAGAGAAAGGAAGAAAGACGGAGAAAGAAACAGAACAAGGTATGGAGGGACAGGGAGAGAGAGAGTAAGCTGTTTAAAGAGTACTAAAAATAAATGGTATAAATAGCTAAACAGTACTAGAACCCTGAAATTTAGTTATTATCCTTATATCAAACTTACTAAAAAGGTTATTTGTGCCTGGAGTAGTAGTCCTGACCCTGTAGAAGGCACAAACAATACTAATCAGTTTCATTTACTTCCTAATGTCCAAATTTGCCTTAACCACTGTTAGAGCAGAGTCCATTGTTTTTATCTATTGAGGGCCCATTGTAGTCCATCGATTCTGTTTCATGTTGTGCTCAAATTAACCGCTTTCATTCTAGAGTAACTTTTATTTCCTGGGTTTTCTTTAGAGTTAAGTCTCATCATTAGGCTGATGAACATCATCAATGGAATAACATACATCCTGTTCGTGTTGTCACACATACTCTGTCATGACAATGATATTGCTCTGTCTACTGTATTGCAGGAGAAACAGAGGTTTCTGACAGATGTTCTGCACGAAGTGATGCTGCTTGACGGCGTGGCCAGTTCCCATCCTGTGTCACAGGAAGTGCGACAGGCAACGGATATTGACAGAGTGTTTGACTGGATCGCGTATAAAAAGGTGTGAATAGATAAGATCCAAGGCCAATTGGATATTTCACTACCTGGGGGTTGCCAAACTATCTTATGGTAAATGTGTTATATTCTTTTCTTCCTGGTAGATAGAAATGGACTATGAGTAAATATAGAGTCACTAGGTTCATGTCATTATATGAGTTAGGGATTTGTATTTGATACATCAGTACAATAGAGATGAGTGTTTGAAAATAATGCCTAGAAATATTGTAAGTTATTAATGACTAAATGTTTAGAGATGATATAAAATTGCTGTACAAATGGTGTGATATGTCAGTTTTTATTATATGTATAATGAGAGCTGACCCCATATAGTGACTAATTATTTTTCACTGATGCCCCTTAAATACTTACTTATTTTGAATGGTTGATGCAAATGGATATAGGCTGTGATATGACATATGTATTTTATAAACATTTTTTGTTTGTTGTTTGTTCAACTTGTTTAATATGGAGTGGAATTTTTTTTAATAAGTTATCATTGATGTACATTCTTATGAAGGTTTCACATGAAAAACAATGTGGTTACTACATTCACCCATATTATCAAGTCCCCCCTATACCCCATTGCAATCACTGTCCATCAGTGTAGTAAGATGCCACGGAAGCAACCCAAGTGTCCATCAGTAGATGAATGGATAAAGAAGATGTGGTACATATACACAATGGAATACTATTAAGGCATAAGAAAGAAACAAATCCTACCATTTGCAGCAACATGGACGGAGCTAGAGGGTGATTATGCTCAGTGAAATAAGTCAGGCAGAGAAAGACAAGTACCAGATGATTTCTTTCATTTGTGGAGTATAACAATGAAGCAAAACTGAAGGAATAAAACAGCAGCAGACTCACAAACTCCAAAAAGGAACTAGTGGTTATAAACATTTTTAAAGAAAGATTTGGGGAATGAGGAATGGTTCCTGGATAATAAGTACAATATATGTAATTCTAAAGACTAGACTTTGAATGGCAAAGATTTTGGATGAATGACTAGCAGAAACAAGACATACTATGAGCATTTTTCCATTTGTTACCTGAATTAGATTTTTTTCCTTATATCTCTCTTAGTGGTTCTAATTAGTTGTTCTTAGTTCTAATTTTAACATGACCATTTACATTTTAGTATTGAACAAGTAGCAGCCACTTAATTGTTAAAATAATGTTAAGATCTACTTTATTTTTGGTGTAGGTTGAATTGCATTTATTGAGACTTCTACACACTTTATTGATTTAATAATGTTTTAAGTTTTTAAATGATCTTGTTAATATTTTTTCTGAAAAGCAAGATATCCCAATTTATAACTAGAGGTTAAATAACGGTTCATCAGAATTCCTTGGTGCAGTAATTTGGATATTTGGTTTTTGCACTCAGGAATTACTGTGTCGATGATTATTAGTTAATATTGTATATAATAATATGTGAAGACACAAATTGTGTTAGAAAATATCTTGTCAAGTCGCTGACCATTGCACTAGCTAAAAACAAGGGTTTTTGAAGTTTTATAAAAATAAGTGGATGTACAGAGCCATATTTAAAAAATGTATTAAAATTTATTTAAACATTAAATAAACAAATAATAAAATATTAAATAACACATATTTAAAAATGTATTAATTTTTAAACCTCAGGTTTTCTAGCCAGATTTTGTGCATGCACATTCAATTCATTCAATAATATTGATTCTTAAAATATAGTGCAGAAAATAATTAAGGTAGCTTGAGATAAGTTTGGAGACATGTCTGTAGTTATTTCTCACCTACTACCAATTCTAAAAGACTATTTTTAAATGCCAGTTTTACTTCAGAATGATAATATTGGGAAAACATTATTCTGATTAAATGTGTTATGAAGTGTTTTTACATGTATGTAACATCTATCCCAGATTCCATATATCTGAGCAATTTCAAATTTATTCAAGAAGGCTAACAAAACAATAGGAAAAAACGAAGATGTAATGATTACTATTCTACCCTCTGTACCTTTTGGTACACTCGCTTGTCAATTTACAAATGTGATAAATGAGCAAACTGTACCAGGGTGTTCAGTACCATCATAAAGGATCCTGGTTTACTTGTCTTTGGCCATGTATCATTTGTTTTAAACTTTATTGAAAAATAATTGACACATACGATTGTATACATTTGAGTTGTACAATGTAATGATTTGATATACATATTCATTGTGGCACAATTACCAAGATCAAGATAATTAACACATCCATCAGGTCATATGGTTAACTCTTTTTTTGTGTGCCTGTGGTGAGAATGCCAAAGAGGGACTCTTAGCAACTTTCAAGTATACAATACTGGATTATTTAAAGCTATAGTCACCATGCTGTACATTAGATCTTCAGAATTTATTCTTTTTTATAACTGAAAATGTGTACCCTTTGACCTACAGTACCCCATTTCCCCTTCCCCTACCCCTACTTGGCAACCACCATTCTATTCTGTTTCTATGACTTTTTAAAAAAAAATTCTACATGTAAGTGATATCATGTATTTGTCCTCTCTGTCTGGATTATTTTATTCAGCATAATACCCTCCAGGTTTATCCATGTTGTTGCAAATGGCAGGACTTCCTTTTATTATGTAGATAATATTTCTTTTTTTTTCTTTATCAATTCATCCATTGAAAGACATTTAAGTTGTTTCCATATCTTGGCTATTGTGAATAAATGCTGTGAAGGACACAGGTATGTAGGTATCTTTTTGGGATACTGATTTCAGTTCCTTCAGACAGTATATGCAGGAGTAGGATTGCCAGATCATATGTCCCTATGGACATTCTGCTGGCTCACATGGGCCATGGGCTCATCTTCTGTGCTGGAAAGGATGGGCTACATAATTGGTGAGCCTGCTGAAATTATTGGAAGTAGGGTTTCCAAAAACAATGATGGCTAGAAAAAAGTAATGGATACCAATTTCAGAATCTTAGGAGTTATGATAGGAATATGTACAAGATACAGTCATGGGAGTAAGAGGGAGTGCTAAAAAGGCAAACAAGGACCATTTTGCAGAGGAGGCTTAGAAAAGGAACACAGTAGTGACTGAGGGGAACATTAAAGAGTTCAACATGATCATAGACTGGTGAGGGTTTGCTGTAGTAGACAGGCTGGAGAGATAAGCTGGTAAGAACTTGGAGGATTTCTTATATGTTACAGGAAGATTGAAATTTATCCAGCAGGTCAACAACCAATGGAGAGTCTCAAGCAGAGGAATAACACAATTAAAACTGCATTTTAGAAACAATATTCCTGTTGGTGTGGTAGAGGTGGAAATGTGATAGATTTAGCATTTCAGAAAAGATTGTAGCAACTAGAATTGTAGCTTGTAGAGCTCAATTTTTTTGTTTTATAGTTGTAGTATTTAATAAAAACTTCCCATTACTGCTCTTCTGTGCTTTTCTCCCTGAAGATCCCCATTACTAGGCAACATTAACCTCTGCCAACAGTCAACCTCTCATTGCATTAGTGCTTCACTGCCTTATCATTTCTTATAATTATTCCCTTAATAATTATTCTAATTATTCCCATTTCTATTTTTTGTTATTCTTTCTGCATAGTAATTTCATTACACTTTAAATAATTTTTTGTGTAGAAATGTTTTATAGGGGTAGAGAAGATAATAGAGAAATAAAGGTTGGGAATCAACATACTAGATATTAATTTTTGTGGATTTGACTTTAAGAAGTGAGTGTATTTGAATACTCAAGGCCATTTATTAAACATATTAAAAGGAAAAAGTGTCTAAAATTACAGACATATTTTTAGAATGGGAAGAGAAAAAAGTGAGAACTAGTCTGTAAAAAGGAAAAAGTGAATTACATTCTAGTGAAATGAATTTTCCATTTTATGTGTAGATTGAAAATGAAGATGCTTTTATCCTGAAAGTACAATGGAATGAGGAAAGTACCGTTCACAGATTAGGAGGACTAGAAAAGATGGATTGAGACAGTCTCTTTGCTCTAAAAGCATAAAGGGAAATAAGAATCAATGACCCAATGACCTGGATGATGAAAGAGCAAATGCTCATTAAATTTACATATGATGCCAAATTAGAGAGGATTGCTACAAGCTTGGGAGAGAGGAACGACATGACTTAGGCAAATTTAAAGAGGATTCTTTAGGAAGAACACTTTTTAGCAATTCTTATATGAAGGTTGATTGTATACATAATACATATATATATGTATATATACACACACATAAATATAAATATACATATATATTTTATGCACAGTTAATTGCAAGAACTTTAGAGAACATGCAGTGGGTTTTCATATCAGTCTTCAGTTCCTGCTCACTATGGAACAGTCAGACATCCTTAACAAATGAGGTTGAGGAATGAGTTTCTGCTCCAGGACAATCTGCATCCTCTTCTGTGGGTCCCCTGATGCTATTGTCCCCAGGCCACCTGGTGCCAGAGCCAACCTTCCTTCTATTCCTTTTTTTTAAATTGAAGTATAGTTGATACACAATATTATAATGGTTTCAAGTATACAACACAGTGGTTCAACAGTTACACACATTATTAAATCTTCACCCCAACTAGTGCAGTTACTATCTGTCAACATAGAAGACGTTACAGAACCATTGGCTATATTCTCCATGCTGTACTTCCATCCCTGGGACCAACTTCTACTATGATTGAGAATTTTTGTACCCTTTTATCCTGCTCACCCTTCTCACCCACTGCAACCCCTCTCTCGTGGTAACAACCAGTCACTTCTCGTTGTCTATGAGTCTACTGCTATTTTGTTCATTCTGTTTTGCTTTGTTTTTAGATTCCACAGATAAGTGAAATCATATGGTACTTCTCTTTCTTCACCTGGCTTATATCACTCAGCATAATATCCTTTAGATCCATCCATCCCTGTAGTCACAAAAGGCAGGATTTCTTTTTTCTTTATGGCTAAATAATATTCCATTGTGTATATGTACCACCCATTCTTTATCCATTCATCTGCTGGTGGACACTTAGGTT